ATATTTTATTATTACAAATTTCGAAGATTACAAAGATTGTCATGAGATATATTTTCTTACTAAAGCGACGATTGATAAAATTATCTTTTCATATATAATTTAATTTAAATTTAAATAAAATAAATATTTAAGATTTTTTTTTTACGTTTGTTTATACGATACAACGATATAGTTCTTTTAAGAAAGCATGATACAAGATACGAATATCTTTTGTAGTCAAATAATAACAAAACAAATGATAGGGAAAACAATTCCACACACATATTTCTTAGCCATTAACATATCTTTTTATTAAAAATATATTATTGCAAACAAACCCAATATATCAGTGACTATTTCAAACTTTAATGACATGTGATTAATGTATAATTTATTTATTTTTATTTTTATCTGACACATTAATATAGTTTATGACATTGAACCCATTTATATTAAGTTAAAATATTTTTATTTAAGACCATATGATTTAATCTCAAAGAGTACTCCAGACATGCTCTTTAATAATTGTTAGTGATTCATATACTACTAAAAATTCAATTCCTCTGCTCAAATTTGATGTGGAACATTTCTAAGAGTCTTTTTTTTTTCTTTCTTTTAATGAAGCATTCAGTTCAAACTTATGATACTGCAATCCGAGAAAGATGGAAGCATGTCCTCATCATTCAAGAGCAGAAAGATACATGTGAACAACCACCTTATGACATTGCAAAGCACATTCCTCCTTTAATTGATCTTAGGTTAGCATGCCACTTGCCACCCAAGTAAGCATCATATATGTAATTAAAGAGTATTTGTTTGATCATCTTTAGATCAGGCACCAATCAAGCTTGGCCAAGAGAAGCTCCTTCAAGACAAGGCTAATGCGAAGACTATATTAAAGAGTATTCCAGATGCCAAATGCTACAAGACAAGAACAGGAAAACACTGGTTCAGTTTACACCCACACACAGTTAACAATGGCAGGAGTTTAAAGGCAATAGATAAATAATATTGATCGACATAAATCTTACATCGATTTTAGCATATCCTTTGATGGTTGATTTTTAAGATTTTTCTTTGGATTTTAAAGTCATCAATCCTTCCCAACAATAACTCCATAGATGACTTCTTGAATCGTAGAATCAAGAAGAAATGACTAAATGACAGAAAATTCAAAGATATTTTTTGGAGGGGAGGATGGATCATCTGCCACCGACTACACACTACAGCTACCAAATTAGTGGCAATCCATTACGGTTTGTGCTGTCACTATTATTTAGGGGTTAGCTACAATGCTCCTTTCAGGTGACGAGAGCTGGAATGTCACCAACCACTCATATCTAAACCTTCTCTTGTTCTTGGCAGTACACCATGACAAGCCAATGCCAGCAGCTTTGATGCCCCCTCTTCCCATCCTTGTTGGCTAACCCAAGACAGTCCACTATACGATTGATCATGACGCACTCGTTCTTTCTTCCTTTGCTCCCATTAAATCTCATGACAAATTGGCCGAAGAAGCCATTGTTTACATCACAGCGTCACTTTCGATGCTTGTAGCTTGAAAGATAAGCTGTTGGTGTGGAGAACTCGTCCGTTGTATATTGGCCGGTTCACCTTTTCTTTTGTCGGACATCCTTGCACTCACCATCCGAGCTTTATCCAGCATCATCCATGGTGGAGTTTTAAGCGTGGCCGCAGGACTAGATTTCCATTATTGATTTGTTGCTGTTTACTTGGATGGATAAGCACGAAGGTAGCAGAGGTATCAATCTCATCATGAAAACACTCATTCAACTACCAGTGTATATACATACATACACAACCTCAAAATTTAGATGTCAAATTCTATCTAAAACATCAAGATGTATACCTCTCACCAGATTCACTGAACATATACATAAGAATCAACACTGCTTGTCATTTGCAAACATGTCAATGACAAGATGAGTATGATTAAAGGCCATCAAGATCATCACAATAGTGCTGCCAAAGTCGATATAGTCTCTCAAATTGTTTATTGTTGTGACTCGTAGAAGCAAACGATAACTACATCCCACGAGAACACATTCCATGCTGGTGCTCGATTACCAAACGTAAATTTAGAGTCCTCTCCTGCACAAGAAGAAATATTATTGCATGACAGAGAAAAAAAAGGTGTGTTAATCTTGTGATGCAAATGCAAGATGAATTGAAGAGAATTAGTAAATGGTCATCCATTTTAAGTCAGAAAAATCAAATTAAGACAATTCAATACATCAAAAGGAATGTGTTGCCGGCTAATGCTTTGGACTTGTGAGCACATTACGATCATCAATCTGCTTACTTATTTATGATTCGGTATCCAGATATGCATCCTCACCAGCTTTCGAGATCAGGGATGTGCTTAATCATTTTTTAAGGAAGCAAACTGGTGTGATATTTTCATTTAGAAAACACTTTTCACAGTTCATCAACAGCCTGCCATATCATCATCCATGTGATCTTTGACAAGGCTTGAAAGGAG